TGGAATCACTTTAAATTCCATAATGACCAACCATAAATGGGCATTTAGTGTTGCATGTTAGTCTTAGTATGTATAGTAATTTCCTTTTGATTTCAATGTGGCTAAGTTTGTAGCTTCTTATGTGAACACTTTTGCATCTCATTTAAGAACTTCTTTCTGCCCCAAAGAACATAAAGACAGTCACCTGTTTTTCTTCTAAAAGTTTCAGTTTCTCCTTTCACTTTTTCACCTAGAACTGATTTCTATGTGTAGTGATATTGGGATCAAATTTATTTTTTTGTTTTTCCATGTGGATAATGAATTGCCTAGTGTCCATTTATTGAATAGTACCTTCTTTCCTAGTGATCTCCTTCATGTGATATATTATATATAATACACATATGCACACACATATCATGTACTAATATATGTAGGTATCTATTTTAATTATAATTTTTCTGTCACAGCAGAAATATAAGTTATATAAATTTTATATCAGGCAAGTTTTAGTGTTGTTCTCAATCCTGTAAAGGAATTTCCCATCTTGCTTCTTTGAAAGATAGTGCCTTAGCCAATCTGTGAATCCACTCACCATCACTATGCTAATACCATTAAAATTTATTCCTTCAGATCACACGTCTCCATTCAGCTCTGTATCCACCTACCCAGCTGCCTACTTGACATCTCCAAGTAGATATCTGACTATCTTCCAATAGCATCGTGTCTAAAACAACTCTTGATCTTCTCTCTATCTCTTTCTACCTCTAGTCTCTCATTCTTTTTTATGTCTGTCAGTGACATCTTCCTCCCTTCTCATTCCATAAATCTTAGTGTCATCTTTGATCATTTTTTCTCCCTTTTTCCTAACACCTAATCTATTTCTGGAATTTTAAAATTCTGCCTCTAAAAGAGATCTCACATCTTTCCATTGCCAGCTCCTTAGTCAAAGCCTTTTTCACTCACCGAGACTGATAATTATCTTGTATTTAACCTTCCGATGTGTCACCCATGCACCTTCCCCAGTCTATTCTCCACATGTCTCCAGAGTACTCCACACACTTAGAGACCTCAGGTAACCCCATGGTGCCCTGCAGTGAAGAGTGGCCTCAGTCCTCACTAGCTTCTGCTCTTGCCTTTCTTATTTATTAGGCTCCAGGCTCATCTTTTTTCTTTTTGTTTCTTTGTTTGGCTTGAAAATATGGAATTTGTGTATCATTCTCGCACAGGGGCCATGCTAATCTTCTCTGTATCATTCCAATTTTAGTAGCACTCCAGTCTCATCTTTTTATGCCCTATGGTCTACCTGTCTCTGAGCATCTTTTCCCTCTGAAATACTTTGCCCTAACTGCCTGGCAAAATCTTCCTTATCCATCATGTCTCAACTTAACTGAATTCCTCAGGCCTTTTCTGAATCACCAACCAAAATATAGTCTACTCTGTTTTATTAGCTTAAGGAGCTCTGTAGTTTTTCTTCATAACTCTTACCACAAATTTAATTATATGCTTATTTTTTCAAATATTCTGTGAAAACCTGGAGAGGCATTTTCCTATCTTCCCCACAAGACCATAAACTCTGACAGAAAGTGCAGGGATTGTAGAATTTTTGTTTTAGAGTAATTTTTATGTTTGGTATTTGGTTATTTTAAATCTCGGTATGCATACTTCCTGCACATAGTAGGAAGTATGCACATAGTAGGATTTTTTTTATCTGAATGAAAAGCCTATGCAGTATAAGCTCATTAGCACTGACCTCAGAACACTGAATTCTTACTTGTATAAGTGCATAAATAGATACTGAAATTTTTTTTGCCTTACCTAAAATTTTATAAACTATAAATTTATGCGCTACATATTTGTCATGTGTATGTTAACTTATTCTTCTTGTTAATAAGTTACAAAGTATTAACAGCTAGTGAGATAGAAGATCTTAAGCTGGAGAACTCATCACTTAAGGAAAAAGTGGCCAAGGCCGAGAAAAGTGCAGAGGATGTTCGGCATCAGATATTGGCAACTGAGAGCTCAAATCAAGAATATGCAAGGTATGTAGTAAAAATAAAACCATGCTTGTGGCCCTCAAACCATTAAGACAATGCTGTTGAAAGCCAGCTACCAAGTGATGCAGGGAGTTGTAGTTCGTTTCATGGCTTGCTTTGGGTGATCTCAAATTGCAAATAAAGAATTTAGTGAAGCCCGGCCGGCGTGGCTCAATGGCTGAGCATCTATCGACCTATGAACCAGGAAGTCACTGTTGGACTCCCAGTCAGGGCACATGCCCAGGTTTCGGGCTTGATCCCTAGTGTGGGGCGTGCAGGAGGCAGCCAATCCATAATTCTCTCTCATCATTGATGTTTCTATTTCTCTCTCCCTCTCCCTTCCTCTGAAATCAATAATAAAAAATATATATTTTAAAAAGAATTTAGGTAAAAATATAAAGTTCTCAAAGAAGTCCTTAAATTTTAAAAAAATAAAGGAAAAGGACAAAAAGTAATTAAATGGCTGTAAAATGTTTAGTGGACTCTTCTCTCTCAAACCCAAGGATGCTTCTAGATCTGCAGACCCGAGCAGCACTTAAAGAAGCAGAAATTAAAGAAATCACAGTTTCTTCTCTCCAAAAAATAAGTGATTTGGAGAACCAGCTCAAGCAACAAGGTGAAGACTTTAAGAAGCAGCTGGAAGAGGAAGCAGCAAGGTAATCACGCTTCAGAACCCAGGTGCCACACGCCTCAATTTATTTTTTCGAGTACACTGTGTCTTTAATTTAATTTTCTGTTACAGAAAAGCTGGAAAGGAAAATACAGTGGCAGAGTTAACTGAGGAAATGAATAAGTGGCGTCTCCTTTATGAAGAGCTATATAATAAAACGAAGCCTTTTCAGGTGTGTCAAATAGGACTGAACTTAAATCATGTTTGTTTTAGTTATTCGCTTTATCACGACAGTGACTTGGTTTTTCTGAAAGACCATTTTGCTGTGCATCTAGTGCCAATTTAACTTCCTATTAAAGAAGGCTTATAAATTTTGTCAAATTATCATGCATACATATTTTAGTAAAGCCTTTATAGTCTAGAAAATACCTCCTAATAAGAGTCTTAAAGTTAATAGCTTAGAAGTTTCTTTTGATCATTAATCTATGTGAATTTGTGGTAATTATTTTGTTTTGCTCTATCTCAGTTTATCTCAAATTAATACACTGATCATAGCCAAAGGATAAATGCTAATCTTGGCACTTCAGTAGATTAGGAGTTCTGTTATAATATGATCCAGTTGATACAAATTAGGCTGGCCAGCCTAGTCTTCTTGTGTCTTTCCCTGTTTTTATGATCTTTGAAATGAAAAACACAAAATTTTTTTTAAAGTCACATTTATGGAGAGCTCTGAGAACATGTTAACAAAATCTGTTTTTGTTCATTTTTAAATTTTCTTTTAACTTTGTCTTCTATATAGTTTATATAGACAAGATTTAACAGTTTTAAGTCTTAACTTTATATAAAAAAACTATTTTTCAGCTACAACTGGATGCATTTGAAGCAGAGAAACAGGCTTTGTTGAATGAACATGGTGCAGCTCAGGACCAACTAAATAAACTAAGAGATTCTTATGCTAAATTATTGGGCCATCAGAATCTAAAGCAAAAAATCAAGCATGTTGTGAAATTGAAAGATGAAAATAGCCAACTCAAATCGGTTTGTAAAATAACACAGTCCTACTGAAGATATTGGGGTGGGGTATTTTTTATTCTATTTATAACATTTAAGTAAAATGAAGGACCTTGGTATCAGAAAAAAGTGATAGTCCATCTAACAATTAAGGATTTATTTTATTTTATTTTAGAGTGTTGACCAGATGGGTATTAATGTTCTCAGATTTTCTAACTACCTCATTAGTATGTTGAAAAGTACTAGAGCCCTAACTGATTTGGCTCAGTGGTTAGAGTGTCGCCCCACAAACTGAAGGGTTATAGTTTCGATTCTGGTGAAGGGCACATACCTCAGTTGCAGGCTCGGTTCCTGGCCCTGGCCGGGATACGTGTGGGAGGCAACAAATCAATGTGTCTCTCTGACATCGCTATTTCTCTCTGTCTTTCCCCTTCCCTTCCATTCTTTCTAAAAAATGATTGGAAAGATTCAGAAAGGTTTACATATCCATTTCTATTTGTAAAGTAGAAAAATCCTTGATGTAAGTAAATACTATAAAGATAGGCAGTGTTCAAAACTAGTTAGGCATTTAAGTTTTTTAACAGCTTTATTGAAATACTAGAGGCCCGGTGCACGAATTCGTGCATGGGTGGGGTCCCTTGGCCTAGTGGGCAGTCGGGGTGATTTGGGCCTGCGGGGGGTGGGACCACAGGAGTTTGGCTGGGGGGAGGGACTAGGGGAAGTTGGCTGTACACTGACCACCAGGGGGCAGCTCCTGCATTGAGCATCTGCTCCCTGGTGGTCAGTGTGCATCATAGCTACTGGCTGGTCGTCCAGTTGTCCAGTCCTAACGGTCGCTTAGGCTTTTATATATATAGATAATTCACACACCATTACTGTGTACAACTCAGTGGTTTTTAGTATATGTACAGATAGCTACAGCCATCAATCACCACAGTCAATTTTAGAACATTTTTATTACCTCAAAATGAAACCCCTTACCCTTTAGCTATTATCTCCCTATCTCCTCATCCACTCCCCCCTTCCATCACTAATCTACTTTCTGCCTTTTTCTAATGTTTAGTTTCACTAGGAAGCAGGTCAGTGGAGCCCCTCAGGTCCTCATGCTGGAAGTTGATCTTGGCATTTATTACTGAATTTTAGAGAGAGATAGGAAGAGCGAGAAACATTGGTGTGGGAGTGAAACATTGATCAGCTGCTTCCTGCACACCCCCTACCAGGGATAGAGCCTGCAACTCGGGCATGTGCCCTGACCAGGAATAGAACCAACAACCTTTGGGTGCATAGGACAATGCCCAACCAATTGAGTCCCGCCGGCCGGGCTAACTTCATAGTCTGAAAGCCTCTATCTAGTAGTGTTTTTTGCCATTTGATTTGATATCTGAGGGACTTTGGAATTTGTCAGTAACATTGGTTACACATTTTACCAACGTGATCTTAAATAATTGTTTATTGTCAACTTTTTTTTTTTTTTACACAGGAGTTGTCAAAACTCCGCTCTCAGATTGCTAAAATAAAGCAAAGTGAGAGAAACCTTCAGGAGGAGTTGAATAAAGTTCTCGGCATCAGACGCTTTGATCCTTCAAAGGCTTTTCTTCATGAAAATAAAGAAAATTTTGTTCTGAAAACCCCATTTAAAGAAGGTAAGAAATGAATGCATAGAAGTGTCATCTTCCTTTAGATTTGCTTTTAGAACATTTAGCAAATCATTTTTTTATGAACAGAAAATTTTTTTACAGTTTCTGTTATGAAAGAAATTCTGAAATTTTTATGTGAGATGCCTTTTCTTTCCTCTTTCCATACTTTATATTTTCCATTTCTCCAGATCCCATCTGTCCTTCAAGCCCATTGAAACTCCATCTTCCTTGAAGCCTTGTCTGACTTTTTTGCTCCTACCTGCCCCCCAACCAGAACTATTCCCTGTAACACACCCTTAGCATTTTAACCTAAATGTCTAATTTGTTGTTTTGGAGAAATAGATGTTCTCTCTTGATTGTGAATCTTGGTATCATTGACAAAAATCAAAATGGGTTGAAACAGTGAATGAAGAAATATAAATAAAACTATGCTACAGAATGTGAACATTGCTTCGTCCGCCTTACAAAAGATAGCAGATGCCCGTTTTTAGTTTATACTGACTGATGAACTGGTGTTGATTTAGGACACTAACACCTCTTTTTAATAATCTCTCCAGGCAATACAAACTGCTACTGAGCTCCTATGGAGTTTCAAGAATCATGCAAGTAAAGATCTGAGAAACCAAGTTGAAGATTATTTTATTCTTATTCTTGTTGTTGTTGTTGTTATTGTTGCTGTTATTGTGATGTTTGTAATCGATACTTTAAAAATGTATTTAATATTAACTTCCTATTTTTAGGTATCTGAAAGCAGGTTCAATGTTTTTACCCATATGTCTTCTGACATTTTATTTTCTCGTCAGTACCTCCTCCCTGATGTTCATTTTCGTCACTTCATTGTAAACCTTCTGCTTGGCTTTCCAGCTTTACAACTCGTCCCAGCAATCAGCCTTCCTTTAAAAATCACTTTTATGTTATTACGCCCCTATTCTAAAACTAAAGGTGGTTTCAAGATTCTAATACCCAGTTTTTTAGTTTGATCCTGGGTGGCTTTTCTGATCTGAATCTCTTAAGCTAAGACAAAATACCTTGGCTTGTTCTTGCCTCTACATTTATTCTCTTAAAAATGTTTAGTGTGTTTTACCCATCGCCCATTTATCCAGTTCAAGCAAGAAGTAAGGGCAGGCTTAATTCCATAGTCATCTCTTATCAGAGTCACTGAGCTGGTCAATAATTTGCAGATTTCTAGACTGTATCCCAGCCCTACTAAATTAAAATCTGAGTTTTGGGATGAAACAAATCTGCATTTGAAACAAACTCTGCAGTTAATTCTTAGATGCGTAAAAAACCTGAGAAACACTAAAAATCTGAAATAACTTTTATTTTGAGAGGCTGTTTATTAAAGCTGGGAACAGTGAAATAAGGAAGGGTTTAGGACGGAAGAAACAACAGGAGAGCCTCAGCAGGGCTGCTTTGGCTCATTGAGAAGTCAGAGGAGAGGGGCCCTTGGGGCAGGTGCAGGGGGTTAGCCCAGGACGAGTTGTTGCTGCCCACTGCGCCCCTGGTTGCAAGCTTCATGGGGACCCTTCGAGTTTAGGAGATGCAGGCCTGTGTGAAGAAGAGGGGGAAGGGAAAGGCACCAGCATGCTCCTAGGAGGGGGAGAGCACTTAACTAAATAGAATTTTTCTTCTATTGCTTGGCATCGGCCTGACTACTGGATGTTGGGTTAGTATTTCTGAAATGTGAAATAAAGATCACACATTAAATCATTAACTCATATATGAAGTTACATTAATGCTTCCATTTAAGGTATATTTATTATCTCTGCCCTCCCCAACCTACCACGTCTCTAGAATTACAAATGGTAGTATACTATTTAGAGAGTGGTAATACTCCATCTAAAGTTTCTGACTTACACAGTTAGTACATTATAATCCACCTTTTAAAATAATATCTCCTCCTTGAGGGAGCAACAGAGATTATTACAATCAGAATAGCTTTTCACAATAAATGATTTTTTAAAATATATTTTATTGATTTTCTTTTACAGAGTGGAAGGGAGAGGGATAGAGAGTTAGAAACATTGATGAGAGAGAAACATCGATCAGCTGCCTCCTGCACCCCCCCCTACTGGGGATGTGCCCGCAACCAAGGTACATGTCCTTGACCGGAATCAAACCTGGGACCCTTCAGTCTCCAGGCCCGTGCTCAATCCACTGAGCCAAACCGGTTAGGGCCACAATAAATGATTTTATTGGAACTTAATACATAGTTGAATTTTTAAATGTCATTTTAATTAAGTTTAGAGGAAATGTAGAAATTAGGAAATTTGTATAATAAAATCAAATAGTTCCAAGACTTCTGCTTTTACTAAAGATGGAGTAACAGGGATCAAATTTATTGTTCCTCACCCTACCATACACACACACACACACACACACACCCCTAAAACTATCAAAAAACTAGACAAGATATACAAAATAATGAGTTTCAAGATGCTAAGCATGAGACAACAATCCCTGAGCAATGGGAAAAATCAAGGTGAGCCCTATCATTGTTTCCTGATTACAGCCTTGAGAGAATTTTCAAAGGATGATGTAGGAGAGGGGAACATAGGCAGAGCCCACCGAAGCACCAGAGTTGAAAAGACAGAGCTGAGATGTGAGGAGACCAAAGTGCCCAGAGTTGGCAGGACAGAGTACGAGAAAGGAGAAAATTTCACAGAGAGAAAACTCGAAGTCAGCCAAGGGTCCCTTAAGTTTTCATCAGTTGTGCATGTGAGGAAACTACTTGTGAGGCCAGGGAGAGAAGCACCCCCCAAAATTAGAAGTAACAGTGCTCAAAGCTGACACAAGGCTAGAAATACTGCCTGTGACCACCAGCCAAGCTGGACAAACCTAAGGATGTATAAGGCGTTGAGTAGGATATACAGAAGGATTTAGCCTCAGTATTGGGGAATATAGGTATACCTCATTTTATTGCACTTCACTTTATTGTACTTTGCAGATAATGTGTTTTTTACAAATTGATGGTTAGTGGCAACCCTATGTCAAGCAAGTCTATTGATACCAAAAAGATTATGACTTGCTGAAACCTCAGATGATTATTAGCATTCTTAAGCAATAAAGTGTTTTTTAACTAAGGTACATACATTGGTTTGTGTGTTTTTTTAGACAATGCTATTACACCTTGGAACAAAGCTCAAGAATATTACAAGATTATTAAAATATGAAGCACTTACAAAGGTAAATTTCACAGTTTCTAACATCCAGTTCTGCAGAAAGGCAGAAAACACTACCCCAATGAAGAAAATAATACACCTGGGGCTAACACAGAGGTTCTGATTACCAGAGGGCATCAAAACCATACATACCAAAACCTAGTAAAAACATGTAATGGAAATAAGACCCAAATCAAACTTGCAAAAACTACAATGTGTGAGATGGAAAAATAGTACTCTCAATGGGAATGACAGCAGATCAGGCATTGCAAAAGGAACGATGAGTGAACTTGGCAATGGCAGTAGGAACTGTCCAAAATGAAACGCAGAAACAAGATTTTAAAATGAACAGAGCACCACAGTGCTCTGGGACCACTTCAGGCAGGCTGATATATGTGTAATTGGAATTCCCAGAGGAGAAAGGGAGGGGACAGAAAAATTATTTGAAGAATTACTGGTGGAAGCATTTTCCAATTACGATGAAAACAGCCTGCAAAGCCAAGGAACACAATGAATCCTAAGAATAAGAAATATGATCATCATAATCAAATTGCTGAAAAGCAGTGATGAAGAAAACTAAGCCTAGAACAAAAATAGTTTTCAGGAACAAAGATGATAAAATTATTATAGACATAAAAAGACTAAAAAATTATCACCTGTAGATCCACGCTAGGAGAAATCTGAAAGGTCCTTCAGGCAGGAGAAAAGTGATGCCAAATGGCAATAAGAATACACGAAGGAATGCCCAGTGTGTAGAGTGTCCCAGGTTAGATTCTGGTCAAGGGCACAAACCTGGGCTATGGGCTCAATCCCCAGTAAGGGGTGTGCGGGAGGCAGCTGATCAATGATTCTCTTTCATCGTAATATTTCTATCTCTCCCTCTCCCTTCCTCTCTGAAATCAATAAAGTGGTTTTTTTGTTTGTTTTTTTTAATAAAAGAATACACCAAGGAATGAAGAGCACTAGAAATAGTAACTGCATGGGTAAATATATGACTTGTTTGGTCTTCTTTTCTTACTACTTTATTCTTTTAAAAAGATAATTGTTTAAGCAAAAACAACATAGTTTGGAGTTCACACATATTTAAAATTAGAGCATGACAGCAAGCTCAAAGTTCAGGAGGGGAAAATAGAAGTATGTGACTGTAAAGTTCTTAAGTATATGTAAAGTGGTATGTTATCTAGGAATAGATTGTGATGTTAATAATGTATATGGTAAACCCTAAGAAAATCACTAACATAAAAAACTTGGAGCCAGAAGTCAAAACAGAAGATAAAATAGAATCAGAAAAAAAATTTTATTCAAAAGAAGGCAGAAAAAGAGGGAAAGGAAAACAACAAGAAAAAAGAACCCTCGTGCACTGCTGGTGAGAATGCAGACTGGTGCAGCCACTGTGGAAAAAACAGTTTGGAGTTACCTCAAAAAACTAAAAATGGAACTCCCATTTGACCCAGTAATCCCGCTTGTAGGACTATATTCCAAGAAATCAGAAACACCAATCAGAAAGGATATATGCACCCCTATGTTCATAGCAGCACAATTTATAGTAGCTAAGCTTCGGAAACAGCCTAAATGCCCATCAGCAGATGAGTGGATTAGAACTGTGGTACATCTATACAATGGAATATTATGCTGCGGTAAAAAAAAAAAGGAACTCCTACCATTTGCAACAGCATGCATGGACCTGGAGAGCATTATGCTAAGCAAAATAAGCCAGTTGGAGAAAGATAAATATGACATGACCTCACTCATTTGTGGAATATAATGAACAACATAAACTGATGAACAAAATAGAGCCAGTGGAGTGGAAATATTTTAGAATCTAATAGAAGTAATCCTGTTATTTGCAGATTTTTAATATTTCCCACAACTTTTGTGATATCATACTATGTTAGTACAGTTTTGACAATATTATTATACCTAAAATCCTTTTATTGTTGAAATATTAATGTTTATTGCATGTAATATTATATGTAAGATCATTTTTTCTTTAATAATTGGTGTTTATTGCATGTAACATTTAAATTCATTTTTCTTGAGATATTAGTGTTTATTACATGTAACATATTTAAGATCATTTTTCTTGAAATATTTAATGTTTATTACATGTAACATTTTTATATTTAAAATCGTTTTTCTTGGAAAAAAATAAATTTTTACTTCTAAAAAAAAAAAGGAAAACGAAGAACAGCACTGGCTGGTGTGACTGTTGATTGTCATCCCATTCACCATAGGTCACCGGGTTCGATTCCCAGTCAGGGCACATGCCTAGTTGAGGCTTGATCCCCAGTAGGGGGCATGCAGGAGGCAGCTGATCTATGTCTCTCCCTCTCCCTTCCTCTCTCATTAAAAAAAAAAAAATCAATAAAAACAAAAACAAATGGACCCACCTCCCGCATTTCCTAGCGACAACTCAGGGAACCAGCTCTGGCCTGGGGGTGAGAACTGGCCTTCAGGAACGGTTTGTTCTTCTTTTTAAGTTTTTATTCAT